ATTGCCCTCAGGTTTAGTCGAAGTTCTTATGGCACCGCAGCAGGTCAGAGCTTCACCGCAGCAAAGATCTCCTTCGGACGAGGGCATCGTTGTCATCGAGGCAAATTACTTCTAATCAAGACTTTTTACATAAGACGGGTCAGTGCGCGTATATGACACTGAATGCATGGGAAGGGCACAGAGTTAAATCGGGTGATGCAGTCGCGGCAGTGGTTTCAGATTCTGGCTAAAGAAGTTTGAGGTACTGCTGTGAGAAGATGAGGGAGCCTAGCTACGGCATTCGAGTTTAAGCCGAAGAAAAATGCAGGGCGAGATGCATTCTGGGGTTGTTGCCCGGATCTTAGGTCTTAACATTAATCTCGACGTTAACTTTTTAACGTACAAGAAACTTCGTAACTTCACCATGTTTCCATCAACAGTCTATGGTAACAAAGTTGACGTTCAGCATTATTATAATGTAGAGACCGATCCTGTTTCCGACTACGGGCCACCCGATCTCCACCTGATCCCAGCTTGCACCCGCTGCGATAGGAATTTGATTGTTGGTGTGAGACGTTTTCTGATTCTTCAGCCTTCTCCTTCTCACTCTATTGCCGGCAGCTGTTCGACTTTGACGTGGAGGTGATGCCAATACTGAAGGTACTAATGGGGAAGACCCTGGAGCAGGCGTTGCTGCAGGTGATGGAGGAAAAGAAACTAGCGGCGATGGGCGCGCAGCAGAAGGCCTTCCTAGAACTGTGCAATGCCGAGCTTGTCGAGATGCGGAGACGGGAGGAGAAGGACAGGAGATACAAGGAGAAGAAGGTAAAGTGGGAGAGAGAGGAGAAGTGGAGATGACACAGAGAGGCAAAGATAAAGGAGAAGAGAGAGGATAAGGGGGAGAGATAGGATAAGGAGAGGTGACACACAGAGGAGATGGTAAAGGGGAAATAGAATAAGGACAAGCGAGATAGGAAGAAAAAGGTAAGATCTCAGAGAGAAGGAGAGGCGACACAGAAAGAAGAAAGTAAGGGGAAGTGTGAGGCGAAGGAGAGGTGACACAGGGAGGAGAAGGTAAGAGGGTGGCAGAGAAAGAGTAAGGAAAGGCACACCTTTGAGCTATATGTTTGAGATTTCAACTTGATATTTTAGGATATTTATATTGCAACCATGAATTTAGCGACGAATGACTACAGTCACAATGGTCTTCCTTCGTGCTTTCGGTCTTTTTACTCAATCAGGCTAAATAACGGTTGATGTGTGTTTGTGTGGCGGACAGGTGTGGCAAATGCAGCAGCAGAAGGAGGTGCTGGAGGTGGAAGCCGACACATCGTAGAGGGTGGCTGCGTGTGCCTTCGCTCAGGGAGACCTTTCAGACCTAATGCCTTCTGTCTTCTCCTGTCTGACCGCCAGCAGCTATACTTCTAAAAACACATGGACTGTAAGTACCATCTCACATGCACGCACGCACAATGCACTCGCTCTTCTTGCTTTGCACGGAAGATCACATCCGCGATAGATTAAATTTACGATATCATCACTAAGGATACGCCACTCACTCGCTACGCTCACTACGTCATGAACTAGTTGATGTGTATTTGATGTAATGTTAGTGATTCCCTTAGTTATGCAGTTGCCATTACAGATGTCCTATTTGAGTAAGTGAAGCGAAGAAAGAAAGGAGGAATCCAGAACTTCGCTAATGTAATTTGTTTTCGTGCTTTCCAGCAATCACATATACGTAACGTAAAAACCAGGAAGAGAGAATTTGAGAAGCTGGAGGTTGCTAATCTCGTTGATGGACTGTAGATGGCAACACTGGTGTGCAACTGTAAATACATGGGAGTTGTGTGGAGTGCCGATGTGTGACTGCTTTGTAAACTTATGATTGAGCTTGAAAATACAAGTGTCTCTTCTTTCATTTTTTTTTTTATAGCGAAATCGAATAATGATGTCAAGGTGTTGTAAAACGAGAAGTTATTTTACGTATTAAAATAGTAAACCATATTGATGGGTTATCTGTCGACAACCCTGGTTGGCAGTTAACATATAAGTCTTGTCTAGATTAGAACCTCTACCCATTGTAAACTTATTACTACCTCGCAATAGAATAAATAATCTACCCACATTCCATTCCGTGTAATGTCTTAGAATTCAACATCTATCCTATTACCAAAAAGACTAGAACATGTAGAAGTAGATATTTATATCGTAATATAAACAGAACTAACCAGCTTTTTACAAACAGTTATACTACCTTCACTAGTCTGTGTTACTTCATGTAAACTGCCATTAAACTATCTGTCACTTCGCAATAATATACTATATATATGCAATTCTATATTAAATGCAACAACATTTTATTGTCGTCTTCAAAACCATGCTACATCACAAAGATAAACTTAGATTGCGTGGCAATTGCAACCGTGGCAACAAGTTTCATTTGATTATTCTTCTTCATCTTCTATTATTCTAATAATTGCCAAGTGTGCGTCATGGTTGTCAGATTGTTTAAAACTCGTGCTTTGTAGGTTTAGCGTTACTTACTTACGTTACTTAATTACACCTGCAGACTTTCCTACACATTATGAGGTTAAAGCTGGTCATCTTTATGAGTTGCAATCGCATACGTGAGAAATACGCACTTCTATGTCGCCGGAGGAATGAATAATGACATGACTGTCATTACCTAGCCTCGTGCTATCACTACACGCATTCTGAAGACTTACGCTAAGGCCTGTGACACGTGAACTGTCATTTCCAATCATCCTGTGCACAATATTCTTGAGTTTCATGTTGTGTGAGGTGGCTTAGTCAAATACATAATAAAATAGCAATATTTGACTGCCACATTGAAATAGTACCTCTCATTTTGTCAAACCAATGTCCTCCTCTTAAATGCTATTAATTAGAATGAAATATAGTGTAACTGTCAGTAGCCTGTTGAGGATGATTTGTATATTTGCTAATGATACTTATACTAGCTTGAGAAAAATAAAACCATTGCTTACTAAATCTTTGGACTTACCAATAAATTATTTTACCCGTGTCAGTTAATTGGTGAGAGCAGGGTGTGTAGAAGAGGAGAAGGGAAGTGGTAGAAAGAGAGGATAGAAGAGAGACCAATGGAAGGAGTGAGGGAGCAGAGAGGAGGAAACAAGGAAGCCAGAGAAGAGTGAGTCAGGGAGGAGACATATACAAGCCAGAGAAGCAAGGAGAAGAGAGGAACAGCAGAGAAGAGGAGAGGGATAAGCCAGAGAGAAAGGCAGAGAACCCAGCCAGAGAGGAGGGCAGATAAAGCCAGAGAAGGGAGAGAAGCCAGAGAGGATGGAGAAGAGGAGAACGCAAGAACAAGGATTGAGGACAAAGGGAGGCGCAGGAGAAGAGCGGAAGGGGTAGAAAAACTCAGAAAGAGGATGAGAAGTAAATGGGAAGCAGGAAGAGTAATGGAGTGATTAACGAGGCGAAACGGGTGGATAGAGTGATATTATCTATTACTATATATATATAGAGAGTAGAGAGAGAGAGGAGAGAAGAGAGAGAGAGAAAGAGAAAGAGAGAGAGAGAGAGAGAGAGAGAGAGAGAGAGATGGAGAGAGAGAGAGAGAAAGAGAGAAGAGAGCGAGAAGAGAGAGAGACGAGAGAAGGAGAGAGAGCGAAGATAAATTATATAATATATATATATATATATATGATATATATATATAATAAATAATAGCGCCCGAGAAAGAGAGAAAAAATGGCAAGAAAGAGAAGAGACTAGAGGGAAGAAAGGGGAGAGGGGGAGAGAATAAGAGAAGAGAGAAAGTGAGGAAGATTAATACCTGGGAGCACTGTGCGCGCTCCGTGAGTTCGTACTACTGTTGTTTACAACACAGAAAGTTATCCGTGAGAATCTGTGAGTTTCTTGTGGCGAGGATGTCAAAGAGCATTAAATGTCAAAGTGCAGTAAGAAAGAAGAAAATTAGAAAGGGAGAAAAGGAGATGAGACACATGAGGGAGAGGGAGAGAGACATACGAAGGGATAGAGGGAGAGAGACGAGGGAAGGATGAAGATGACCATAGAGAAGGGAGAGAAATAGAGGGAGAGAGCTTATAGAGGAGAAGGAAATTAATACCGAGAGGGCAGACTGTTCGGCTCGCAGGCTCCGTGTTCGTGACTTTACGTTTTACAACACGGCTTTTCGTGAATCTGCGGTTCTATTGTGCCGAGATGTCAAAATGTCAAAGCCAGAGAGGAGGGAGAGAGCAAATTAAGCCACCTATATCTATATACTAGTAGTAATTCCTATATACTGCTCCACGTCTCCGCTAGTTCTCATCACCGTCCACCTTCCCAATCTCCTCACTTCCTTAACTGCCCCTCTCGCGATAGTAGCGGCCCACGCAGGCAAGTAGCTAGCGAGAAAACCTTCGCAGGCACAAGCCGTGTTTCGCTTCGAAAACTTTTTCATCAGCCCCCCCCCAAAGAGCAGAAAAGTGACGGCTACGCGTTTAGTAGTCTCATTAGTCCAACATACACGACAACGTTTGACCGGCGCACACGACGCTGGTATGGTACACGCACGCGTACGCCGTGTTATTTATAGGCGCAAATTAACATTTTGTGCCTCAGGAAGTGAAAAAGTTGGAGCCGAAATGCAGCCGATTTGCTGCAAGTTTTCCCATGCTCGGCTGGTCGTGGGCGATACCATCCGCGAGAGGGGAGTAAGGAAGTGAGTAATTGTCGCGTCCGTAATGTGCGTATATGTATCTATGTAAAACAACCTGGCTCAACACGAGTGTTTCGTTAGTACATCTAGTTGGATCTCTAGACTTTCATCTATGAAATTGGGGTTCGAATCTCCGTTAATTCTTTGCTAAAATATTTTCTAACTTGTGCAAAGGTAAACGTATTTCAGACATGTATGCAAATTAACTGCGTTGTTGTTGCACGTTCTAATCGTCGTCGTCATCGACGTTCAGTGACTGTCTAAACGTAATCCCATCGAAAATACAAATAAATGAATCACTTACAAGCCATTTAACTTTTCACAAATAATTATTTCACTTCTATTTAATATCTACCTGTACACGTACGAATCATACCATAGTAAATTTCCGATATTTGACATTAAGGAAAAGGAATTATTAAATTGGCAATCAAACATCTATCGGTAGATATAGGTTTAAAGATTAATTGCTTGCAAATGAATTGCATTGCTGCTAAGCCTGTGAGTTACAGAGGATTTTTGAAAAAAAAACATAACTAATCTACATGAAAGAGGGTCATGTCAGACACGACTACCAGAGAAAAAGATATCAGAACATCAAAGCTGGGTAAATTTCTCAGTAAAATAGAATGCTACCTATATGCTACCTATATTTCTGAAGTCAATCACACACTTCGACTATATGTGTGGACAAATAGTATAGTAAATATATATATGTGTGTGTATATATAATATGATACGTGATAAACTCCTACAAAATACCCTGTTCTCCTAACGGTTGTAAACATTCAATTAAAGTGATAACATATTAGAAAACCTTAACGCTAAACGTTACATACATGCTTCTCCCGTGCATGCAAACTCTCACTGCGACTCCCTATTTAATCTCACCACTGCATTGCTCATACCTTCACACCAATCAGACCTTATAATTCACACAGAACGATCTGCGTGGACCAGAGATTACTTCCCACGAAAATTCCACAAAGAGCCACGATATTACTAAACAAATCCCCTCTTTCATTTAGCAAGAACAAATTCTCACGAAAACGGTACATTCAAGTGAGACTACTCAAAGCGTCTTACTCAAAGACACACCCAGCGAGCTCTACCACACGTTCTAAGAGTCGATTAATCTAGTCCATACACACGTATTCCCCGCTTTACAACTGTCATCTCTAACACGACTACAGCCGTTCTAACGGCATGATGGCAACCTAGGTGCGTCACACTGTACACGACAATTGTCAACATTGAAAATAGTCACCATGCTCCGCTCGGTAACCAGCCGTAGTAACGCGACTGTGCGCGATGCCACGCTAAGTACTAAATAAGTTTTTAATTAAACATTCGACGCCAATTAACTGTAAACGTAAGCACAGAATCAACGGCACATTTTTGCACTATCCCTGAAATTGCCTGGGTTTTCAAAATATTTTTTTCCCCCCCGAGTGATAGCCCGCACAAATTTAATATAAATAGATAGTATGCATGTAAACAGCACACGTATTCATGGTACCAACTCACGTATAGCACAACGGTAATAGCATTATGGTAGTACATTTCACAGTACAATTAGCAGAAGCTGACGTCTGAGATTGAACGCAAAGCTCGTGCATTTTGTCTACACGATTATTGATTTAGTAAATATATAAGTTCGTTATCAAAACAGTGTGCTCGCAAATTCTCGCAACTGCAAAAGATAGTTATGGTCTAACATTGTGATTCTGCATTCTATACATATACCGTGGATTTACACGCAAATTTGGGATTTTAGTTGTACATCACCCTCTCTGCTTATTCAACTCTATGCCAATGAATTCATTATTTTTAACATATATATATATATATCGCGGTTTATTGTAAGTCACATTAGGTAAAAGACGTATACATGGGGACATAGAAATCAATTATAGTTAGTCCGCTATAAATAACAGTGATTCTGCTACACATTTCTCTATTGGACTGTCACAATTTTAAGACCTGCCAGTCTAGCAAACAAAGACTCTGCTACCAAAATAATTACCTACATGAATTTTGCACATAATATTATTGTAAAATAGGAAGCTGCTAAAAATATACATTAGCCTGCATTCATTAGTTTTACATCTACACACACACATATTAAATATATTCTGAATAGAATTCAATATGAGAAACTTAAGAAGCATCACTAAATAAGTCTGTTTCCTGTCAAACAAGTACATATATGGTCAAAGTCTTGCTACAGTTACCTCCTCTATAAACGAGCATAGGACATCAAATCACAACATCGATTAATTAGATAACGAGATCTTTACCAAATAACTGTGTAATCTAATTACAATCTTGTTAATCTAAAGTCATCAACACTAAGCACATGTAGCATATCAGACAAGATTTAAATTTTTGTTTCATGTGCCACAGGTATTCGTGCAAAAAGTACAGACTTTCCCAGTATATGGCTTCCGATCTTCGGATGCAATAACCATTTTTTGCAACACATATAGGTTACTCGTATGTAGGTAATGTATAGAAGGCATGCTTGTTTCTCTGTATTTTATAAAATTTAAATTGATATAAAAATAACCCCGAGCACAGTCAGAGATTCTAACCTGATGTTATGAGATATTCAGTTAAAGATATTTTCAAAACTACCCTTAGTAATATGTACATACATACATACATACATACGTACGTACGTACGTGCGTGCGTGCGTGCGTGCGGGCGTCCGCGCACGCCTGTACGTACGCATGCAAGCATGGATTCATGCACGCCAGCATGCAAGCACTCACGCGCAGGCGCGTGCACGCACGCACGCACCCACGCACGCACGCACGCACACATTTCCTGTTGTGTAATCAGACAATAATCTAATGTAAGTCTTGCTTCCTACTGTAAACATACAATGACATTCAATAAGTACATTATATTTAACGTGTACTCTATAACTAGGTGTCCTAGCATAACATCAACAGTTTTGTCAAAGGTTATAAATTCAAATTCTACCTAAACTGGACCTTACTAAGCATTAAGGTTGCAGAAACATGCATGAATACAATACATCGAACCATAGAATTACATTCCCACACTGTATAAAGATTAATCCCAGACTGTCTTTAGTATTAATTCTTTTTAGGCACCAAATGGCACCAGTAGGATTTCCCACACATGCACACTCAATCGTTTTACAACTGAATGTGCTGCTAATGTAGCATCAGCATAGTCAAGGATTTGAACTGACAATATAGACAAGTGATGCTATAGTGTTCTTGTTAAATCAATTGTTGATACAAATTAATATTGAGGTAAGATTTGGTTTTTATCTCGAAGAACCATTGCTAGAATTCAAACCTTCTACAGCACATGGTGGAATAAAATATTAATATTCGACTTGTAAGTACAACTTTCATCAGTTGTAGAAATCTCCAACACGTAACCTACTAAAGTGGCGCAGTCTCCAATCGGTGGACGTCCATATACTATCGTAGGGTCTCGGATTGTTAGCATTTCTTTTCACTGTTGGGCTGCGCTGGCCACCAGGGTAGAGAATGCAGCAGCAATATCCTCTCTTCCCACCAGACTATGGTTAAGTGCCTCCATCACGTCCCATACTGACAGCTGCATAGATTGCAGACAGTGCTTCACGAAACATGGCACTGAGTACATATTCTGCAGCTGCAAAACAATAACGAAGATTGTTGTTGTCATCATTCTGCAATGTCTACTTTTGCACGACTAGCAATAACATCTAATGTACCTATATATGACAACTTATAATCAATAATGTCTATGTATATATGTATACCTATGTGCGTGCACTCGTGTGTGTAATGACAGCAGCATTATCAAGCCTATTGTTCATTCTCTCTCTCTCACCCTTTTTCAAACAAACTTCTAGTATTATAAATTTCTGTAGATACACATTTCATGTGAAGTAAACATGCCAGGTCTTTGTTTTAGCTGCATGCTTACACTACACCCAGTTCCTACCTGCTCGAGATTTGTACGGTCTTCTTTGCTGAACGCCAGCCGACTTGTTAACGCAGCCAACTCCGTCATCTCAAAGTCTCTCAGCTCTTTCATTGTGTCGATAGCAGCAGGGCTGAGCACGATCGAGAAACAGCGTGCCTCGCTCAGCATGCTAACGTCACAGGATGCCGCCTCGCCTCCGGCTGCAGCAGCAGCGGCACACGACTGCTGCGCCGCGACGGAAACGCTCATTCCACTCGCAACTGCGTCCGACTTCTGAACGTCTCTCTTCATCTTCTTGTCCAGAAAGTCCTCAAGCACCTTCCGATTGTCTGTGCACCAGAACATCGGCGCTAGAATGTTTATCGGTGACCTCAGGTTAACCAGAGGCGACGGCCAGTAGCAGTCTTCGTCTGAGTCGCTGTCCGAGCCTTCCCAGTTCTCCGCCGTGCCCAGATCCTGCGGCTCAGCCTCTCTGCTAATATTCGGCATTGCCATTGCGGCCATTTCGTCAGATTCTGATGCCGGTAGCAATCCCTGTTGTCTCACTAGGCTATCAGTGCTTAACCTCGACTGCTCCAATGCTGAAATAAACACAGATCAATGTGTTCGTAACGGCTATTTGCCTTACATCACTGTGAAGAAAAAACTGAATGTGCATGCGACTTTGCTGTTTCATTAACATTTTACGTGAACTGAATCCAATTTTATGCCTGCCTGTTGATTCGTGAAACCCGAGATGGCATAGGCTAAGGCCAATGCATGCCCTCGCATTAGTACTAATTTTATTTTACATTTTCATTTCTTTAAGGTCACTTACGTTCTTCAATAGTTGGAGAAGTTGTGCTAGACTTCAAATTGCCATGGCCCACTGTGATTGCTTCAGCATCGGAAACGTGAACCAAATCTTTGATACCTGCAGGATTGCAGAAATTTAAAGCTACACACATTACCAGGAGTGTATAATATAGAGAGTGTAGATAGGATATAGAGATATAGGAGTGTATAATATAGAGAGTGTAGATAGGATATAGAGATATAGGAGTGTATAATATAGAGTGTAGATAGGATATAGAGATATAGGAGTGTATAATATAGAGTGTAGATAGGATATAGAGATAGCAGGAAGTGTAAAATATAGA